ATTCATTTCCTGCCCTACCTATATGCTTAGAAGAATCTTGAGATTTTGTGCCTTTTTTTTTTTTTTTTAAATTATGAACTATGGAGAACAGTATGGAGGTTCCTTAAAAAACTAAAAATAGAGTTACCATATGATCCAGCAATCCCACTCCTGGGCATATATCTGGGAAAGACGACATCTCTAATTCAAAAAGATACATCCAACTCCAGCGTTCATAGCAGCACTATTTACAATAGCCAAGACATGGAGGCAACTTAAGTGTCCATAAACAAATGAATGTATATATATATATATATATATATATATATATATATACACACACACATACACACACACACACAATGGAATACTACTTAACCAGAAAAAAGAGTGAAATAATGCCATTTGCAGCAACATGGACGGCCCTAGAGATTATCATACTAAGTGAAGTAAGTCAGACAGAGAAAGACGAATATCAAATATTACTTATATGTGGAATCTAAAAAAATGACATAAATGAACTTATTTACAAAACAGAAATAGACTCACAGACATAGAAAACAAATTTCTGGTTACCAACGGAGAAGAGGGAGGGGGATAAATTAGGAGTTTGGGATTAACAGATACACACTACTATATATAAAATAGATAAACAACAAGGACCTACTGTATAGCACAGGGAACTATAGTCAATATCTTGTAATAATGGGAAAGCATATAATATATATAATATTCAATATATAAATATAATGGAATGGAATGAAATATATATAATAGAATATATACTGGAAAAGAATCTGAAAAAGAATATGTATATACATTTTATATATATATAAATCAAATCAAATCAACTATACTTCAATTTAAATTTTTTCTTTAATTTTTTAAAAAGAATTAATGTTTAAAAGAAAAAAAAGAAGAATTAATGGTGAAGGCCAAAGTTTTTATTGTGAAGGCCCAATGTTATAAGGCTTAATATTAGGATCTCCCGGCTGGACATGACTTGTTTAAGTGTCTTGAACTTTTTTTTTTTTTAATATTTATTTATTTTGGCTGTGCCAGGTCTTAGTTGTGGCACGTGGGATCTTCGTTGCGGGATGTTTTTTCTTTTTTACTTGCAGCATGTGGGCTTCTCAGTTGTGGCATGCATGCGGGACCTAGTTCCCTGACCAGGGGACCAGGGATCGAACCTGGGCCCCCTGCATTGGGAGTGCGGAATCTCACTCACTGGACCACCAGGGAAGTTCCCTGAACTATATTTTAATACTCACAGCAGCATCGAAAGAAATAATAGCAAGAAGCAGCATAATTAATTACTCAAGGTCAAATTATGAATAATTCTAGGTTTTTTTTAAATGGTGTAACGTCCAGGGCTTCCCTGGTGGTGCAGTGGTTGAGAGTCCGCCTGCCGATGCAGGGGACACGGGTTCGTGCCCCGGTCCGGGAGGATCCCACATGCCGCGGAGCGGCTGGGCCCGTAAGCCATGGCCGCTGAGCCTGCGCGTCCAGAGCCTGTGCTCCGCAACGGGAGAGGCCACGACAGTGAGAGGCCCGCGTACCGCAAAAAAAAAAAAAAAAATGGTGTAACGTCCAAAAGAAGGTCTCAAAAACACGTCAAGAGAAATAAATCTTTATATTCTTTGCAAACTTTAGAAATAGTTGCTAAAATGTATATGACTCATTAGGTTTTTAAAAGAAACAAGAAAAGAGTGAGCAGCAATACTTAAGAACACTAAATTTTAAAGAGGAATAGAATTCAGGATTAAAGTCATTACATAAAATAATGAAGGGAAACAAGTTTAGAATTGGGAGTCTAGGGTTCTAAGCCTGGCTCTGTTTCTAACTCTATGTGATCTTGGGTAGGTCACCTCCTGTTTCTGGATTTCAGGGGAAATAATACTAGGACCTCACCCTTGTTTACTCTCATTAAGTATCAGATTTCTCATCTGCCTCGTCAAAAATGTTTTGAAAAGGAACTCTCAGTCTTCAGGTTATAACAAAGGCGATTTTCAAGGCAGCAAAAGTCTTCATCGAAATTTGCCCTGGGGTCCTTCTGTTGGTTTGCATATTCATTAGCTCATCCAGTCCCACATCACAAAGCAGCTCAGTAAAACAGGGATTTTTTTAACTTATTTCTACAGTAGTAAAATTCCTTTTTGTTTCAACATGCTCTCTTTTACATGAAAGTGCATGTTCTGTCTTCAGCAGCAATGTTGGTCTTTAAAAAAATGAAAATATATAATAAAAGATGAATAAGATAGAAATAAAAACTGTCACATGCATACAATCCCAACAGGTGACAGTGGCCTGAATTTTCTCCTCTCATTTGTGATCTTCAATTACAGTATTTTTCTTTTTTAAATGAAATTTGGGTAAAACCATTTGTTGTGTTCATAATGTTGCCATGTTGTTGGATGCATTAAAAATAAAAAATAGAAAGAATGGGAGAAAGACATAATCCCTCTATCTTCTTTTTTTTTCTATTAAATATAAATATATTTTTCTCATTGTATAAGTAATCTATGTTTATTTTAAAAATTTCAAAAGCTTAGAAATATTTGAATTGAGAAGCAAATCCTCTGTTATCTCATTCAACCAGAGATAATTTTTAGTGTATGACTTTCTAGACTTGTTTATATGAATACATCAAGCATATGTGCACATATATATTTAGAACAAATCATAACACATTTCCCATTCTGTAATCTTGTCACACTTAGTGATATATCTTAACGTCTTTTCCATATATCTCTCTCATTAGGCAAATGGCATAAATAATAGTACATGCCATCATTAATAACCAATGTGCTGGAAATTCCCCGGCGGTCTGGTGGTTAGGACTCCGTGCTTTCACCACCAAGGGCCTAGGTTCAATCCTTGTTTGGGGAACTAAGATCCCGCAAGCTGTGCAGTGTGGCAAATCAATCAATCAATCAATCAATCGATCACCAATCTATTAGTGACGGACATTTTGTTGGTTTTCAGTATTTTGCTATTATACACATGCTACGGGGAACATCCTTGAACACTGGTATCTTAGCATTCTTCTATACATATCTCTGAATAGATAAATTCTAAGTGAAATTGTGGAATCAAGGATATTTTAATATTTGAAAACTATTCTGCGGAAGTATATAATGGCATTTATATTTACATTCCCTCTAATGGCCTTTGAGAACGCATGACCTACAGTCTCACCAAGCATTTGTCACTCATACATGCTGTAGAAATTATTTTCTCCAATTTGGTGTTTGTGCTTAACTTTGTGATATATTTTTGCATATAGAGTTTTCACCTTTTTAGGTACTTAGATTTGGCTATCTTTCCCTTTACAGATCTTAGCATTGGTTCTATTCTAAGCAGGCCCTACCCCATCAATTATAAAAATATTTTCCACTGTGTACTACCAGTATTTTCTTTTACCTCATTGAAGTCATCCATATAGTTACTTCTTTCTCTTTCTCCCCAGAGGGAAACAATTTGACAAACTGCCCTCCAGAAAGGTCATACCCATCTACAGTCCCACCAGCAGTGAATGAAAATATGTTTTAACAGTGTTTGACCACATTGCACATTGCCTTTCATTTTAATATTTGTCAATTTGAAAAGAAAAAAATATTTCCCTCTTATTTTACTTCACATTTTCTTTATTTTTAATGAAACCATCTTTTAAGATATGTGCATTTACAATTTTTGTTTTTTCTCCTGAAAACTTAAGTTATGTCCTTTGTTATATTTTTCTGCTGGGCTTCACTTTTTTTTTTTTTAAATCGATTCGCAAGAGTTCTTTATATTTTCTTATACATTTACAACACAATCAGAAAAGGAATGTGAAAGTTACGACCTTTTTTTTTCATTATGTATGTTGCAAATGTTTTGAATTGTATTTTAAACTGTGTGTGATAGGGATGAAGCCTCAGATTGTGCAAACAGAGCTGTTGACCAGAGGTAAATACCATAGTGCGGGCAGGGGCTGGGGAAGGGGGTAAAGAAAACTTTCCAAACAGTTTATGGTAAATGTCAGGACAAAACACGCCCCTCCCTCCCCAAAAACAAGTCCCCACAAAGTATGACTCATTCTCATGCTAACAGTCGTGTATTGATGGTGGCTCAGGAGCTGAGTCTGGGGCTCGCCCACAAAGGGCCGTGAGGGAAATGGATGGAGCAGAAGAGCGGCCAAAAGGGAGGGGAGGGGATGCCAAGGCCTTAGGGGCTCACCGAGCCTCTTAAGACTCCATAAGATGCTCTTGGGGAAGATCGTCATAGACAAAATTAGGTATTTTGTCTCTGCTTTGGTTTACCCATGTAATGCACAGGTGAGGACAGAGAATTCGGTACATAAAATACTGTGCGACATAAGAGAAATGTGCTTTTTCTCTCTTAAGCCAGAGCTCTGGGGTCACAGGTGTTTGGGCTCCAAATTACCCCCCCCCCCCCCCCCCCCCCGGCAACAGCTACCCCAGCAATCAGAGAGCAGTACATTTCACTTATCAACACAGAAAACAAATGATTCTTATACCTTGCCCATAATGCTCAACGCTTATGACTTTGCATCTCCCTGTTTCAAAGCTCTGGATTTGTATATGTGCATATGTGTCAATCCCAACCTCAATTATACTCCAATACAAATTAATTTAAGAAATAAATAAATAAAGCATTTTACAGTGGGGGAAAAAAAAAGCTCTGGATTTGAAATCCCGGCCTTCTCACAGCCATGCCGAGCTACGTTTGACATCACCATCGCTAATTCTATGCTTCGTTAAAATCTTGGCACATAAGTGCCAAGAGCATGATGCTTCCCATTTCGCTGTACACGTTTCCATGGATATCTGCATATTATCTCGGTGTTCGGCAGCCATACCAGGAAGTAACGCCTCTTTACACTCGCTGCAAGTACAGAGTCTCAAGATATGAATGCCAGCTAAAGTCTCCCTATTCGACCTTTGTCATTATTTGCTGCACTTCTGTATGTCACAAGCCTGCCAATAACACTTTCATTTTGTGTTTCCTGATTATTCCAGGAGGATGATTGGAAATTTTCAGCCTGGCAGTCAAAGTGTGTTCATTCACCTTCAAGGTTGCTGCGTTTCAGCCCATCTCTGCTTTCAAACAAAGACAAACACCTCTACAACCAGTATCAGCAAATGAACTGGAGTGCAATGGTCATAGGTGAGGACTTTTTCCTCATTCCTGAACCTGGGACTAATCGTCTACATAATATACACTGAACGGAATGAGGTAACCACAGCGCTCTGCTGCCTGCCACCGTCCTGAGAAATCTCGCGATCACTGCCTCGCAAGGGAAGCATGACCTCATCCAAATCATGTATCATTAGAAAATGCGGTCAAAACTGTCTGCCCTTATAAGGGGAGCACATACACATCTCCCCTTTGTTGTTGCTATTTCACCTACCATTTTTTTTCTTTGGCACTGAACTCTGATCCGTCTTATCTGAAGATGAGGTTAAGTCAAGGGGAAGAAAGATAAGCACGGAGGAGTGGGAGGAAAAACAGGCAGAGGTGGTCTGGCAGGGAAGCACGTCAACACGCTGCATGGCATCAACAAGGTGTAAGCTGCTAGAAACATTCTGCAAAGTTCTAGTTCGACCCAAAGCAACTTAGGTGAGAGGCATCGTCTTTACGCCATGGGTGTGACTTTCTAGAAACATTCTGCAAAGTTCTAGTTCGACCCAAAGCAACTTAGGTGAGAGGCATCGTCTTTACGCCATGGGTGTGATGGAACAACATCATGGCATAGTTTGTTATGAGCCACTCTGAGAAGGTCATCACCTCTGCGGGAGATAAGTCTGTGCAGGTAGGGAGAACACTAGCCCCACCTAAGGGCACTTGCCTGACACTCAGCTACTCAGAAGCTGGGCAGCTGGGCTGGGGGCTACTGGGGCAAGAAATTGGGACTCCAGAAGTAGTAGGGGAGGGAGCCATTGTGAACATCTGTATTGCTGAGAATTGAAAGAACTCTTTTTGACTGGCACTGTATACCCAGGGAGAGTTAAACTTAGATAATCCCCCCAAGCAGGCTTCTCTCTACATCAAAACCCACTATCCACCCTTTATAAATTTTAATTGGGGAACTTTTGTGTCATTTAACCATTTTAGGCTATTTTCTATTGTTTCAGAATCTCCATGATGTTTAATTCTATTTTTTAGCCTGCACACCTACTCCAAACTCCCATTTCCTTTTCTAACGACAATATTAAGTCATCAGAACTGTGTTTACTAATAGTTTCTCAAGTTCCTCTTATTCATGGGCAACTCTGTAGCCACATAATCACTTTATAAATAACCCACGACTAGGGTTTTTAATCCGCCTTATCTCACTTGTATGGTTTGTAAATTGAGTGTTTTCCCTACAACTTCTTAGCAATCAAGACTTCAGTTTGGAATTTCTTCCACTTACTGACATATTTATTTTTAACTCTTGCCTTGGCCTTTGTTCAGATATGTGTCATAAAGGCAATAAGCCCTGGCTGTATACACACACCTTTCCGGGGCTGGTTCAGAAAAGCACGGAGTGAGGGAGTAATCCCATCTGTGATGCAAACTTTGTTTACCAGAGGGTCAGCCCTATGAAAAAACACTTCCCATACAACTGAAGGCGAATACAGGAGACAACAGTGCCCAAATGTCCCAGAGCCGTGGGTCATTGTCATGGTGATGACTTGCGTTAAGGATCTCTGCAGGTGCAGGAGCCTTTGGAATATGCAGAAAGTCTCCAGGCTTTGTGTAAGTCGCCTCCAGCTGGCTGGGACTTTCCACAACGAGCATCTATTCAGCGACTGTGGACAGAACCAGACCTCCATCTTAGATGTTTCCTCCTCTCCTCGAGGGGGTCTGCAACTTTCTAAAACGGAGTGCCAAATGTGGATTCCTTCCCTTTTGGTACTGGGAAGGGGACGCTTAACTGGGTGGTGCATCCTCCTGCAATGAGGGGAGGGGGCTTTTATGAGTATTTCTGGAGGGGGCCAGGGTGATGGTCCACCAGCTGGGGAGACATAAACAGAATCTCTAGTAACTGCTGTGGTTACAGCCAGAGAGGCGTGGCTCCGGCGCTAATTACACGGGCCCAGCTCAGGCCCAGCGTGCCCCCAGGGACCAGAGGAACTCTGGGGTCTTCTTTACTGCTTGGACCAGATGTCTGCCGGCACCCCAGAGATAACCAGCTCAGTTCCCCAGCTCTGTGTCACTAATTACGGGCTTTTTCGGATGTTGTCTCTGCATGAGGCAGACCTGGAAGTGCTGTTTACCAACCAACTTTATCTACTTAGGACAGTGAGCCATCTCTTTCTATCTTGATTTACGGCCCAGTAAACACAAGGAACATATTCTCCGCTAGAGACTTAAACTTCCTGCGGGAGGAATCCACGCCCATGTCTTTAGAGCCTCGGGGCTTAGCCCTGTGCCTGGGACACAGAAGGTATTAATATTTCTTGAATGGATAGAGTGAAATGTGATTGCAGTGAGCTGACATGGTCTCTCCAGTGATTGGATAATAATTGTGACCATCTATTGATCTCCAGCAGAGTGTCACAGTGGAGACATAATCTCTCCAGCCAGTGCAACCACCTTGCAAGATAGACATAGAATCCCCTTTTCGCACAGGAAAAGACAGCTGCTCAGAGAAATTAGGCAACTTGCCTAAAGCCACAAAGCTGTGAGTGGCAGAGCCAGGAGGTTCATTTGTCTCCAAGGCCCTTGGGAACATCCACTACATCAAGCCACCTCCCTGAAGTTGCAGGACGTGGAGAAAGTGAGATTGGAGTCACGACTGCTCAAGCCAAAGCCTGGTCTAGTGAAACAGGTGGGGCTGGAAAGGGCTGGAAAGTGGGAACCTCCTTGTCCCTCACATTGCTGCCCAGCCCTATGGGGTGAGAACAAAGGCTTTGGCTGGCTCTCTTCCCGCACGTGGGCAGCTGCGATGGCACCGCATCTGAGCCTTGGCACCGTGTTGAAGGGGGAAGTGACACACGGGCTGCCGGCCTCTTGCCTAAGGGCTCTAGAAAGAGTCAGAACCATCAAGTGTCCACGTTAAGTGGAAAAAAACCTAACGTGTATGTCCTCATTGAAATTCAGTCAGTCCTTCCGAGACAGGAAAAACACATATGGAAATTGTGTGAGGCATTCATTTCGCTCCCCTAATTCTGCCTCAGTCCCAACTTCCCCCTGAGGTCTCCAGGACAATCAGGAGGTTTGGGTCAGCCCCCGTGGCTGGCTGGGGTCCTCCCTCGGTGAAGCAGTGGGTGGGGTAGTGGTCTCCTCGCTCGGCCCCTAGAATGGTTTTTCTCTCCTTCCTGCCCTTCTCGATGCCCGAGGGCTCCCCTATCCTCACCCTCAAATCTCCAATCCTGGCGCGAATCACTTCTGCACCAGAGTACGTATTTTAAGGCATTTAACCTAAGGAAAGCCTCTCCTTCTAGGAAGAAGTGTTTGCTCCCCTACTCTGTGCAGTCACAGGGACTGGTGGTCCAGTGGTTAGGACTCAGCACTCTCACTGCTGGGGCCCCCGGTTCGATCCCTGGTCTGGGAACTAAGATCCCGCAAGCCGTGTAGCATGACCAAAAAAATTTGAAAATTAAAAAAAAAAAAATCCTCTAATCTTGTGGGGTGGGAAAAAAATAATCTTTTGAAGTCTTATAATTTCCATTTTGGAGTTTACCCATTTCGTTAAAAGTTATCTGCTTTACCTGTAAAAAAAACCCCAAAAAACCCTCTAATCTAGTAGCTACTGTTGCCTGTTTCTTCTCATCTACAGCTGCTTAGCTGCTAGAGAAGCAAAACTGTTGGATACAAAGCAACTGAGGAATGAGGAGAGATGGGTGATGGAGCTAGTTCAGTCCCCTCGTGGTCAGGCGGGTACTTCAGCAGTTAAGAGGGTGTCCTCAGAGGCAAGGCTTCAAGTTGTGGCTCAGCCAGGACATAGCCCTGCAAACCTGCACAGTTACTTAATCCCAATTTGTCTCCAAAGTTGGGATAATAGTAGCCCCTACTCATTGGGAAGCTGTGTATTTAAGGCCATAAACATAAAGCATTTAGTACATAGTATGTGCTCAGTAGCTCCTGGGTATTATTGTTACAGGGAGTACTGTGAAAATTCTTGTCCTGTAAAGAATATGCTGGAACTTGCCCCTAACTCTTAACCCATCCACATCTTCCATCCATTTCTTTGCTGTGGCTCAGTTGAGGTAAAAGATCTCAAAATAGTTCATGCTCCGTAATTTTATACTTATTCAAATGCTTTCATATTCATTATCCCAGTGCCTCAAATGACATGTGCTTAATCAATATTTATTTTTATTTTTCACAGCTATGTCAGGCTGCAGATGGGATAGATAACGATGGTAACATCTTATAAAGGAGGGGAATCTTCCATGAGCTCACACTTGGGGCTGAGCCCTATTAGTTTGCTAGGACCACATCATAACCAAGCGCTAGAAACTGGGTGGCTTGAAATAACAGAACTTTAGTGTCTCACAAGTCTGGAAGCTAGAAGTCCAAGATCAAGTTGTCACAGGGTTGGTTTCTTCGGAAGGCTAGTGAGGGAAAAATCCATGCCTCTACCCTAGCTTCTGGTGGTTTGCTGGCAAAATTTAGTGTTCCCTGGCTTCTAGAAGCATCACCCCAACCTCTGGCCTTCATCTTCACATGGTGTTCTCCCTGTGTGTGTGTGGGTGTGTTTCTATGTCCAAATTTCCCCTTTTTATAAGGACACGGTCATATTGGATTAGTGTCCACCTTAATGATTTCGTTTTAACTTGATTATCTCTGTAAAGACCCTATTTCCAAAGAAGGTCACATTCTGAAATACTAGGGGTTAAGACTCCAACGTATATTTTTGGTGGGGGGACACAATTCAACCCATAATGGTAGCCAACCATGAAACCATGACTGGGGAGGAGTGAGCCAGTAGGGGAGGCAAGAGAGAGCGGGTGGGAACACCTGGGGAATTGCAAGTCATTGGTTTTATAGCTCCATTAGGCTGGAGATTGCAAAGAAGGGAAAAGGTATAGAAAACAAGACCTAAACCTTGAAGGGCCTTGATTCTCCCAGGGAGCATGAAAGCTTTAAATCTGGGAGAAAGGAGGTCACAATACATCAGGGAGCAGTTTTGTGGAAGATGGCTGGCAGGCCAGAGGAGAGGACCAGTGAGAAATCTCCTTGTTATTATACAGGCCACAACTGATGAGGGACTGTGTTCAGATTTTTGAAGATAGTTATCTTCTCTCCACTTGGTCATTCATGCTCCTGGTTAAAGGTGCCTACTGCCTTCAATCCCACAGAGCACAGTCTGCCCCCTGCCCACTTCTCAGGTGCCAGCCTCCGGTCCAACCCGGAGGTATCTGCAGAGCTCGGCAGAGCTGAGTGACAGCCAAAGAGGAATAATCAGGACTCAAGAGGCCAAGAGAGCAGGTGGGCAACATCCGGAGTGTGTGCCAGGTGGTAGGGTGTTAGAAGCAGGACTTCCACTCTCAGAATGGGGACTGGCACAAGCAAAGCAAAGAAATTTCAGAGGCTGATTACGGATCAGTCATCCAAGGCAGAGAGAAAGATGGAGACTCAATTGCCAATACTAAAGAAAAAAGAGGGGACCACATCTTAGGAATCAGACAGAAACTCAACTTGGGACCTGGGTACAATGAGTCTTCAGAGCCAAACCTGGTGCCCCAGTGAGGAAGGAGGAAAGGAAGGAAGGAAGGAAGGAAGGGAGGGAGGGAGGGAGGGGAGAAGGAGGGAGGGGAACAGGGAGGAAGGGAGGGATCTTTCAGGGCATGGCATCCTGAATTCCCTCCGCTTTGTAAGAACTGAACCAAATAGTCCAGTTTAGCTTTAACCAGAAAGAAAGCAGCCTGCCGTGTCCATTACTGCATCTATTGCTTTTTCACTAAATCTAGAAATAAATCTAGTTCTATGGAGCTGCAGAGACAATTTGTGGAGGGGCCAGGGAACAAATGTGACTTCAGAATACAACCTGGTGACATGTGAGCACCGTAAGCAAAGCCGAGAATTGACACAGCCCAGGTGGTCAAGGGGCAAGGGACGAGAGCCTTCCTGCCTGCCCCTTCATTAGTTCTGACTGGCCCGCTAAGAATACCTCAGACCAATAAAGCATCTGGGAGCCAATCCAAGCTACTTAACTCCAAATTACTGAGGTGCCAACTGGCGCTAGGCTTATAAATCTGTCTTTTATCATCTGGTTGGCTTAGCCAGGTCTCCAAAAGCGACAGTAAAATTTTATGATGTACTTTAACAAGCCGACCTTCAGAGTCAGGCTTTGTTCTGTATGAAATCTTTCCCCTGCAGCAATGGAGGTCAGACTAGATCACCGAACCCTGCCTTGATGCCACGAGTTGTTGGGCTGAGGCTAGACAGTCACATCTAAATAGATTTCTCATTCAATATAGTGAAATACCCTGGCCTTAATGCACTCTTAGCCTTTTTTGTAAGTGGTATAATTATAAAGATTTTCTGGTTGTTCAGTCTTATTTTATTATTATTATTTTTTAAACTGTTGTAGTTTTTTGTTTGTTTTGTTTTTTGGCTACTCCTCGCGGCTTGCAGGATCTTAGTTCCCCGACCAGGGATTGAACCCAGGCCCCGGCAATGAAAGCGCCGCGTCCTAACCACTGGACCGCCAGGGAATTCCCTTTACTGTTGTAGTTTAAAATTCCACCTTAGGGTAGGTAATTTGGAAATAGCATTTTCTCATTTCTTTGAAACCATTTTTTTAAATGCCAGTTATTACTATTCAATTTCTCTTCAATTTATTTGTTTTTCCAGAGGAATGCCATTTAAATACATCCAAATTGCTTAAAAGGTGAATGGAAATAATTGTTTAGAATGTCTACTGTTAAGCCCCCCAAAATAATTAATAATTTGGTTGTAAACAAATACTTAATGCTCTTTCTAAGAGTAAATAGAACTATGGTTGAGGATTATTCGTGTCAGGGTAACAATCATTTCCCCAGCTAAAATTTGATTAATGAAAGAACGATTTTTAACTTGTGGTATTTCAACTACTCGAAAGTGTCCACGGGAATCTACAGCAGATGGTAGAAAATGACAAGAACCGATTCTCACAAAAAGGAAAAACGACTCTGTGAACCATTCAATGATAGAGTGGGGTCTGAAAACCATCACAGTGCCCTCAACAAAAATCCAAGCCAGAATTCCTTTCTTAGGTTAAAAATGTACCATCTATGCCTAAACGCCTAAGTTTTCATTTTCAGTTTGATTAATCTCAGAGTTTATCTGCCCCCAAACAAATTCCAGAATCATTTTGTCACTGGTTCAATCTATGAGGCTCTCGTGAGATTGTGCTTCAAAAAAGTATTTTAACAATTATAAAGTTTAAAAGCCCAATTTTATAAGAAGCTAGACTAAAACCTTTACATCGAGTTCAGAGTAATTGTCTTCAGGGCTGTCCTCATGGTTCACTCAATGGTGTCATTGCTGAGAAAGTTCTGGAAACTTTTCAGAACCCAAGGTCAATTCTTTAAATATCCTCTCGGGTGTCAAATCTTTTTTCCTTGTTTGGAGCTTTGCTTTCCAGAAACAACTCAAAGTTTATTCTTTGAGTAAAGCAGGTGGTCCACCTAGGTAACAACGGCTCTAAAACCCATTTAGACTCATGGGATGGATTTTCTTGTGCGGCTTGTAAATCAATTCTCAAAGCAACCCCAGAAGAGTTTTTGATGTGTTTTAAGCAAAGTAAAGATCATAGACAGGAAGTATAGCTTCCCAAAGTGGCTGTTTTAAAGTGACATTAATCTAGCTAGGAATCACAATGCATTTTTAAAATAAATTAGCGTGAATAGCCATGGTTCAAACATACACAATGCTGAAGGTGAAATGCTTTAGGGAAACATAAAGAGAACTTTAAAATGTTTGACTTTTAAACCACATACTTAGTTAGGGAGAAATCATTGGACTGCCGTACTCACCACACACAAAAGAGTGAGATGAGAATTATTTCATTGCCCCCAATATTGCTATTTTGCAGAGACTCACAGAGAGATGAGAACAGAAATAAGAATAACACAGGACTTGTGGTGATGAGGGAGCCTGCTAACCCAGTTTATGCTTCTGGAACAATGCCCTCCTTCTTCTCCATGATTTACACTTGACATGCACTCGTGCTAATAACCCTAAAAATCCAGTAATTATGAGTTTAACATCATGGGTAGTTCCAACCCCGAATACCACTTATAATGGCTCGTGTTTATATGTTGCTTTATGTTTTTTACAGGACTTTCTTGCATGAGCCCCCTGAGAGGCAGGCAGAACAGGTAGCCTGCCCCTTTTAAAGATGGGAATATTGAAGCACAGAGGGTGGGGTGCTTGGCACAAAATTGCAGGGCTACTTGGCAATTGATAAGGATTTCAGACTCTAGGTCTAACTAATTCCTACACCAGGGTTCTTTCAGGGCTGAACTAAAATCAGCCCAGCACTGTGCACTCCAAAGTGCACTGTGCACTACCCTGAAGTCATGTATGAGGTCTACTTAAAACACAATTTTTTAAAACTGTTATTTATTTTAAAACATTTTTATATTATTTTTATACAATTTTTAAAGGTTATACTGCATTTACAGTTTCTATAAAATGCTGGCTCTGTTCCCCATGTTGTACAATACATCATATCTTACAATAGCCTATCTTTTTTTTTTTTTTCTTTTGCGTTACGCGGGCCTCACACTGTTGTAGCTTCTCCCGTTGCGGAGCACAGGCTCCGGACGCGCAGGCTCAGCGGCCATGGCTTACGGGCCCAGCCGCTCCGCGGCATGTGGGATCTTCCCAGACCGGGGCACGAACCCATGTCCGCTGCATCGGCAGGCAGACTCTCAACCACTGCACCACCAGGGAAGGAAGCCCCCAATACCCTATCTTACACTCAGTAGTTTATACCTCCCACTTTCCCACCCCTATTTGGCCCCTCCCACCTCCCTCCACTGGTAACCACTAGTTTGTTCTCTGTATCTGTGAGTCTGCTTCTTTTCTGCTATATTCACCAGTTTGTTGTATTTTTTAGATTCCACATCCAAGTGATATCATACAGTATTTGTCTTTCTCTGTCTGACTTATTTCACTTAGCATAATGCCTTCCAAGTCCATCCATGTTGCTGCAAATGGCAACATTTCATTCTTTTTCACGACTGAGTAATATTCCATTGTCTGTATATACCACATCTTCTTTTTCCATTCATCTGTTGATGGACACTTAGGTTGCCTCCATATCTTGGCAATTGTAAATAATGCTGTACAAACACTGGGGTGCATGTATCTTTTTGAATTGGTGTGTTTTGTTTTGTTTTTTTCAAATAGATACTCAGGAGTGGAATTGCTGGGTCATATGGTAGTTATATTTTTATTTGTTTATTTAAATTTTTTAAAAAAATTTTTTTGGCCACATCACGCAGCTTGCAGGATCTTAGTTCCCTGACCAGGTATCAAACCCGTACCTCCTGTAGTGGAAGCATGGAGTCCTAATCACTGGACCACCAGGGAATTCCTGGTAGTTCTATTTTTAGTTTTTTGAGAAACCTCCGTACTGTTTTCCACAGTGACTGTACCAATTTATTAAAAAACAGTTTTTAATGAAGTGTTTTAGGCAAACTAAAAATATAGATGTTGGCACAATGGATATCTGTAGCATACCATCCAGCTTAACAATTATAAACTGTTTAAGCTAGAATTGAAGCCTCCTTTGGCCCCTTCCCAGCCTCATTTGTCTGCTTCTCCAGGCGTAGCCACTCTGCTGGTCGTGGCGGGCAGCGTTTGAGGTGTACTTTCTATTTGAAGACCCTTTGCTTGGGCCTCGGTAGAACGGACCTCAAGGTGTCCCGGGCCTTTTCTGACACCTAACTCCCCTGCCTCCTGGTGAACTGACTGGGTGGGGAGTGGGCTGAGGCTTGAGGTCTTGCACAGAGCGGTTACCTGACCAGTGCACCGGGAGGTAAGGTAGCCGGCCTCAGAGCTGATCAGGTAAGAGAGCAGAGGGGAGAAGGAAGAAGAAACTTCTGCCTCCCAAGAGCTAAATTGGAGTCTCCCTCCTCCAGCCCCAACACACGGAGTTGTTTCACTTCTTCTCCAAAGGGCTGGGAGTAGAGTCAGGTAGGTGAAGTCTGGGAGCCCCTTCTCACTTTTCCCTTCTGGTTCCCTTGCCTTGGGTTTGCCCTCTCACTCAGGTGTCGTCGCTCCGCCTTGGGTCCCAGATAGTCCCCCAGGGGACCCGAGAGCCTGAGCTGTCCACCCCTCCACCTTTGCCGGCCCGGAGGAGGGTCCCTCTCCAGGAACCAGAAGGCTTCGGCTTTGTTCTGCTCCGCTGGATGTGACCAGCCCAGACTCCTTCCTGCTGTGTCTTTCAAACGGATAATTCTGTAAACCAAGCTGTGGCAAAGGAAAAGGATTAGGAGACTCCATAAAAGGGATGTGTATGCATTTGCACGGTAGGTCATTGCCTTGGCCTTCCTTGCCTTGCTGGAACTTTTTTTTTTTTAAACCTCTTTATTGGAGTATAATTGCTTTACAATGGTGTGTTAGTTTCTGCTGTATAACAAAGTGAATCAGCTATACATATACATATATCCCCATATCCCCTCCCTCTTGCGTCTCCCTCCCACCCTCCCTATCCCACCCCTCTAGGTGGTCACAAGAGGGAAGGTTTTAACTGAGTGAATTTCCCAGGTAGACGAGAATAGCTTCAGAGCAGGGGGCATGGTGGGGGAGATCTTTGTATGTAAATAGTGCCTCAGGATCTAGGTCTACACGGAGAGGGAAAGTGGCTTGGCCTTCATACTCCTGAAAGGCCTCAGATTTGGATCCTTGATGTTCTCTCCAAATAACCAGCCCTAAGATAGTCTCATGGTAACAAAAGATATTCCTCATACAGCTTCAAACCTGGGTCTGTTATCAGACCACACAGCCTACCTGGGTACCACGGACCAATCATTTTTATGGATTCTGTAATTCCTGTTTGATTCTGAAATCCTATTTTAGCATAATTATACTGTATTATATTGTATTTTTTGTTTTACAAGCATTCGCTTATTAAATGTATACGTTGAAAATACCTCATGTTTTTGAAATTTATTTTTCCAAACTTTTTATTTTGGAAATGTGACTCTCCAGAAGAGTAGAAAGATAATGCAATGAATATATCCGTCACCAAATTCACCAACTGCTAACCTTTTGGCAACTTTATGTCTGTCCATATTTCCATATATATATGTATGTGTATATATGTATACATATATATGTATACATACACATACACAAATATTCTTTTTCTTGCTAAACCATAAATTCAGTTGCAGAAATCATAGCGCTTCACCCCTAAATACTTCAGTATGTATCTTCTGAGAATAAGGACATTTTCCTAATAATGACAATGCTGTTATTACAACATGGTATCACATCACAGCAAAGTTACATACTGTCAACAAATGGGGAGTGATGCTCCCTTGAAGGTAGAGTATCTACAGAAATTATTTGGAATTCTTCTGTTCAGGAGATTTCTCTCTTCTCCGCTCTTCGTTGATGGATTGTTAAATTCTTTCAGCAGGAGCCCATTAGACTGAGGTGGCTCCAGTGCCATGGCAGCCTATGTCAGCAAACCAAAAGCTAAGCCTGCCAATGCCTCAGAATTACAAAACTGAAACCTAAGGACAACCAATCCCCAACAGCCAACTAGGTTTTAAGCTGTAGCCAATCATTATTTTCCTTACTCTGTTTCCACCTTTTCTCTATAAAAGTCCTCCTAACCACTTCTGGTTTGGTACTGCCCCCTTCAAATCAATCTTAGTTCCAATAAACTCTAAAATTTTTAATATGCCTCAGGTGATCATTTAACAGCTCTTAATCATTTATTATATCCATATGGACTCATGGATATTCATTTTATACTTTGGGTTATGATCCAAAACTGCTTTATTTACTTTGTAGCTAAAATTGGACCAGCTTTGGCTTCTGGGAGCTCTTTCAGTTGCTTTCTGTGACTTTTGATACACTCCCATCCTTATGGGTTTTTTAGTTAGGTTTTTACAATTTTGTTTTGAACTCTTTCTTACTTTCTGGCACAATGAGACACTCTTGGCTCATCTGGTATATTTTCTGCCTGAGTCCTAGAGTCAGCCATTTCTCCAAGGAGCCCTTCTTCCTTTAACCGGAGAATGAGATTAGAAACCAAGATCTGGGTGCCAAGTATGCTTACTGCTAGCGGGCTATTGCTCCTTCTAGACCCTCTCAGCCAGCAGAGCAAGGAAATGTGTGTGTATACTAACCTGTCCCTATACACCCATATATAAATATTTCTATGTGTAGTCATCTGTGTCTACATTACGCGGAACATGAGTTAATACTGATGTCTCTAACTCTAATCCATTATCACATGGATCATTCTAGCCTCCTCCCCTTGCTTATCTATAACCTCCCCTCCAACAGTGAGAAATCTGGCTCCCACCACCTGCCATCCACTTAATTGTTCATTGGCTTTTTAAAAAAATATACTAAGTGTTAGTAGCCATTACTGCCATTATCTGATGCTCTAAATGTCCCAAATTCGGCCAGTGGGATCCCTTTCAGCTGTGTCCTCACACACAGCCCCTTCGGTATTTGAGCATCTCACTGCATTCGGCGCAAGAAGATATTCTAGACTCACCTGTGCTTTGTCTCAGGCATAAATCAGTCATATTTTCAAGGATCCTTAATGCCTTTTAATAGAGAAGTTACTGTATTTAGAAAACAAGATCAGGGTGCCTAGTTTGCAAATTGCTACCGAGTTTTTTATTACTTTTCGGCCCTTTCAGTGGACAGAGCTCATCATATCTATACAATAGCTTCAATCTTCTGAGTGCTATAGGAAATAAGGCCCCAGCAACTGGTTTAAAAGGCTCAAGTCTACATTTCCTTATCATAACAGATCTTTCTTTCTTTCTTTCTTTCTTTCTTTCTTTCTTTCCTTAGGCTGTGCCACACGGCCTGTGGGACCTTAGTTCCCCAACCAGAGATTGAACCTGGGCCCTCAGCAGTGAAGTGCAGAGTCCTAACCACTGGACTGCCAGGGACTTCCCACAACAGATTTTCTTTTATACTGAATTTCTGTCTCTTAGGTTGCAAATCTGGGGTAATGAAAACGTTAACTTGGATTTGATGTAAGGGCCACATGTTATATGCAATATACTTAATCTTCAAGTGAAATGAAATTTTAAAATACTGTTTCGAGCAATTGAGGTTACTAGGACAACTAAGCATAATCAGAGTATCACAAATCCAGACACGGACACCACTGGTTAGCAATCCAAACATCTCAAAGCGAGACAGCCACACTAATGTGCTAATTACGGTATGCGGGTGCTAAAGGCCAGCCTGCATTAGGCCTGTCGGACCAGCCTAATTATTAACAGTGCCTCCTGTCACTCTTGGAAGGTCCCAGCTTATGTTTCCGCGGCATCTGTGCCCTCTAGTGGCCAAACAGTGGCAATGGGGAAAGTGGAGAAAAGTAGGCTTCTGTGAAACACACTCGGAAATAGATTTGTACCCATTTCAGGGTGTAAAACTAGAGCTGCGAAAAAGATATCTAGGACTTCCCTGGTGGCGCAGTGGTTAAGAGTCCGCCTGCCAATGCAGGGGACACGGGTTTGAGCCCTGGTCAGGGAATATCCCACATGCCACGGAGCAACTAAGCCTGTGCACCACAACTACTGAGCCTGCGCTCTAGCGCCTGTGAACCACAACTACTGAGGCCCCGCACCACAACTACTGAAGCCTGCGCGCCTAGAGTCCGTGCTATGCAACAAGTGAAGCCACCGCAATAAGAAGCCTGAGCACGACAACGAAGAGTAGCCCCCCACTCTCTCCGCAATTAGAGAAAGCCCACACACAGCAGCGAAGACCCAACACAGCCATAAATGAATAAGTAAATAAATTAAATTAAAGAATATCTAGTCTCTTAATCATTTTGTAGAAATAATTAGAAGTTTATTCAATTAAAAGATACAAAACAAGATGGGAACCTCACACATAACGGGGGGTTTGGAGTTTTTTTAAATTTTTACTTATTGGCAAAATTTAAAATATTGCCCAACCCAGGAATGGCACATGAAAAATGAAAAGGCAAGAACTATTTCTGGGAGTAGAAGTGGGTATAACCTTTCAAGGCTATACTTTGGCAATAGGTTTCAATATGTGACATGTTAATATTGTTTGACCTATCACTGGAAGTTTATGAAGGATCTATTCACACAAAAGCCAAAAGATGTATATAGGAGAATATTCATAGTTTAAAAGGAACATTTGAAAATGACCAATGTTCCAAAATAAACAGCTGATTAAATAAATATGATTGGTACATACAGTGGAATATTGTAGATGTGTATTTGACCATCAATAAATTGTTGAGTGAAAATAGATAATAAAAATAAATACTGTAACTCCACTTATTAAAAAACATGTCTGTGTATGTTTGTATATGTATCACACAGGAAGATGTCTGCAAGAAAGAATACTAGAATATTCACAGTGGCTGTCTCTAGATGTTTGAATTGCAGATAATTTTTACCATCTTCTTTGTTTCTTATTTTTTGTATTTTTGGTTGCGCCATGCAGCTTGTGGGATCTCAGCTCCCCGACCAGAAATGAACCCGGGGCGCAGCAGTGAAAGCCCAGAATCTTAACCACTAGGCATCAGGGAACTCCTTTCTTTGTATTTTTTGAATAAATAAATGAACAAGTATCCTTTTTATTAAAAAACCATAATGTTATATTTAAAATCAAGCAGAATAAATAAAATTGGTTACTTAAACTATAAATAAACAAAAGCACAATTTTTTTTCTTAAACAAAAGCCATGCTGAAATATTACCCATCAATAAAAAGGAACGAACAGTTGATTCATGGAACAATACTTTGAGTCTCAAAAATGTCATGCTGTGTGAAACAAGCTAGACGTGTTTCCATTTATGTGACATTATAAAAGAAGAAACAAGTTTATATTGATGGTATACAGATCAATGGTCACCTGGGGCCTAGGGTCTGGGATTAACTGCAAAGAGGCTTGTGAAAAAAATTTTGGAGTGACAGGAATGTTCTATGTCTTGATTGGAGGGTGGCTACACAGGTGAATATATTTTTAAAGTCCTGGAACCATACACTGGAGATGGATCCACTGAACACATTAAAGCAAAGTTGCTCATCTCTACGGTGGATCTTTGTGGCTTATGGAGACAGTGCGATTGGCTTGGAATCCCTAAACTCAAGATGGGCATAATGGGCAGGGCAGGCCCTGGGCGCGCATGTAAAATTGGCAAGATTTGCACTTCCCTCTCCCTGGAACCCAATCCAGTCCCTCACCTCATTCCATCCATGACTTTACTCCCTAACAGTATTAGGCAATAATGATATTATTGCCTAATACTAACAGTATTTTTGTTATAATAATAATAATATTATAATAATATTATATAATATATATAATATTTTTTTGTTATAATAATATTATTGCCTAACACTAACAGTATTTTTTGTTATAATAATAATAATATAATAT